AAATGTAGTGTGATGTAAAGAATGATTCGAAAAGACTTGGATAACTAGATTTATCGGTTGGGATATAAGGTTTTTTGTGGCTTGAACCCTGGACGCTAACTCTTCTAACTCCAGGCAAAGGGGGAGCGACAATTTCTTGTCCTTGTCGGTTTTTTTGGGTTAAACGTAACGTCTCCCTTTAAACTCTGGATTAAACGGTACGCCCCGTGTGCGGGGCGTAAGGGCGAGGAGGAGGAGGGTGGAGTAGGGCTAGAGAATAACCGTTACATATTTTTTGAGCCCGAAGGAGAGGGATGTAGCATCGGATTGAAGACAGATCATTTGGAGAATAACGTGCACATAGGGAGACACAACTACGCATATGGAGGCACATGTAGACTAATGGAGACACACGCGCAGACTCACGGAGACGTGCACACTACAGCATCGCATGGAAATATGCGGCTTAAATAAAGATATGATCTATATGAACTATATGCAGGGACATATTATTACCAATAGTTTGATTCCAAGTTTCTGTAATTGTTATTTCTTGTCCATGACACGTATTGTTACCCAATATAAAATCAGTTCGTCAATTCGTCACCCACGTCTTTATTATATTTATTGATGACACCTGGAAGGTTTTACTTTATATATGTATATATTGTTTTTACTTTTTGATTTGGTTTCGTTTTTTCATTTTTCTATTAACTTATGTTTTTTTAAATTCTCCCTTTTCAATTTATAAAAAAATAACAAGCTCTTCCTTCCTGTTATTTTTTCCTCTTAATATCTCCAATAAAATTGAATCCAGTAATGCAGCTGTTATAGACAAGATAAGCAAGAAGAAATTTAAAAAAAACTTCAAGGAACACACGTGACAGCTTCATTGACCTTTGCTCTATAATGAGTCACGTGACAGCCTGGCGCCGCCCCCCCCCCACTCCTTACTTACGGGACTTTTGTGAGATGTGTGTGTCTGTGAAGGGTTGCTTGTCTGGGATGGGGATCTGTGTCGTCATTATCGAATGTAAAAAGCGCAAAGCCTGGTATGCGGTTATTTAGGTCAGAGGCAACCACTAGAGATTATTTGTGTGTGCGTGTAAACAATGAGGCAACCACTAGAGATTATTGGTGTGTGTGTGTAAACAATGAGGCAACCACTAGAGATTATTGGTGTGTGTGTGTAAACAATGAGGCAACCCCTAGAGATTATTGGTGTGTGTGTGTAAACAATGAGGCAACCACTAGAGATTATTGGTGTGTGTGTGTAAACAATGAGGCAACCACTAGAGATTATTGGTGTGTGTGTGTAAACAATGAGGCAACCACTAGAGATTATTTGTGTGTGAGTGTGTAAACAATGAGGCAACCACTAGAGATTATTTGTGTGTGTGTGTAAACAATGAGGCAACCACTAGAGATTTGTGTGTGTGTGTAAACAATGAGGCAACCACTAGAGATTATTGGTGTGTGTGTGTAAACAATGAGGCAACCACTAGAGATTATTGGTATGTGTGTGTAAACAATGAGGCAACCACTAGAGATTATTTGTGTGTGTGTGTAAACAATGAGGCAACCACTAGAGATTATTTGTGTGTGAGTGTGTAAACAATGAGGCAACCACTAGAGATTATTGGTGTGTGCGTGTGTAAACAATGAGGCAACCACTAGAGATTATTGGTGTGTGCGTGTGTAAACAATGAGGCAACCACTAGAGATTATTGGTGTGTGCGTGTGTAAACAATGAGGCAACCACTAGAGATTATTGGTGTGTGCGTGTGTAAACAATGAGGCAACCACTAGAGATTATTGGTGTGTGCGTGTGTAAACAATGAGGCAACCAATCAGAACGGGTACAACGCGTCTTGTTCTGGGATTGCCAGAGTCACGTGACACTCAATCAATGACATATGTTTGTAATCAAGCACCCAGGATAAACACACACGCACCCGGGATTAACACACACACGCACCCGGGATAAACACACGCACACCCCCGGGATAAACACACACACCCGGGATAAACACACGCACACCCCCGGGATAAACACACACACACCCGGGATAAACACACACGCACCCAGGATAAACACACGCACACACCCGGAATAAACACACACGCACCCGGGATAAACACACGCACACCCCCGGGATAAACACACACACACACCCGGGATAAACACATGCACACCCGGCATGAACGTAGTCAAAACACACAATCACCGTCACAAATAAATTCACGAATACACACACACACACACAAAACTCAGAAAAAGACATGGTGATACATGTCATCGTGGGTAAAACATGGCGGAGATGACATAAGATGTCAACGATAAAGGGGGATAACTCTTGTTAGGAAAGAAAATGCATATTTCTTATTTAAAAAAAAAAAATCAAACGTATATGAATGCAATGCCTTCTTTTGCATGGAACACAGATTAGACCACAATGGATTGGACAACATCTCCAAACACATCATTTGGAACTTCTTTATTGGACGTACAAATTCAAATTACACAACATAATAGCGAATGGTAATTTACAACATCCGTGTAACACGTCACAACACCCTGCGGTTATATTCTGTAATTTTCCAAAATTTATTATTTTTTTTTATAGATATTTCTTAATACAGATCTCTCATTCATTCCCGAATCAAGGCTTTTAAATTCACGTACTGCTACTGTGATACCACTACCACTGACCAATCATGATCGTGTTACAGAGAAAATTCGATCATAAGTTACTCTAAAAAAAACAGCCGAGGTTTGGCAAACAACTGCCCGTGGACATCTAATATCACCCATCACATTGTGGCACACATCTAATATCACCCATCACATTGTGGCACACATCTAATATAACCCATCACATTGTGGCACACATCTAATATAACCCATCACATTGTGGCACACATCTAATATAACCCATCACATTGTGGCACACATCTAATATAACCCATCACATTGTGGCACACATCTAATAT